GAATTTCTGAGAAAATGTTGGAGACGGAATTATGGACATAACCTGAATTATTAGTCCCCTTTTCAGGCTGCGCCTGAACGGGGACTAATAAAATGAAATTCACTTTATAAACAAAGAAAGCCTCAAAATAATAAATCAGGTGCTACAACAGTTCAGTTTGTGATTTCAGAGGTCACAGCCACATAGAATCTTGAATTTGTCTTGAATACTGGATAATACTTTATTTTACCTGGAATTATTTTTGGCTGAAAAGACTTTTTGGGTGTTTTGTATGGAATTTATTTTCACTAATTTTTGATGAGCTGAATGGAAAAGAGGTATATTCGCTGCAATTTACTTTCGCTGAAAATTGCAAAAAATTAATTCCAAGCGAAAATAAAGTATTTTACAGTACTTCTCCCTTCAGCAGTCACCGAGGTAACCCAACTTGACTTTGGGGATTCCATTTTGACCAATGTCCTAACAAAATCAGTTCTATAGAGAACGCACTATAAAGACCCCAACCCGGTTGAATACTTGTGTCTTACCTCCTGTGCTTCATTTTGTCTCTTAGCCTCCTTAATTTTCTTTTTCAGTTCATTCAATTCCTTCTCAGCATCTGCATATCGCTTCACCGAATCCTGGTATTTTTCATCCAATTCCAAGACTTTCATTTCTGTTTTTTCCATATTTGTCTTCTCACTCTGAAAATAAAATTATTCCATGTAAAACCATGCACATACTTCTTTTCTTTGTATTTCATAGTACTTTTTGGAGTCAGAAGTTGCCCATCAGAAGGATGCAAGGGGGGGGGGGGTGATCTACTATGCAAAATGTGTATCTTTCACTTTGTTTTGAACTGGATTTTTTTTTTATGATGTTACTGTAATTTGTTTTTGGTACTTTTATCTAACGAGTTGTATTTTCTTTTTATAAATATTGTTTTGTTTTGTAATATTAGGAAAATATAGTAGTGACATAGCATTACCATGAGGACACACGTTAACATGTGCGAATGAGACGAGTTTTGGATGTATATAGCGGACACACTAGCATCATCATCCGAATCATGCGATTATGTTAGGTAAATGTAAACATACTCTCCATGTGGCAATGGCTGAATAAATGAACCTTTGGCTGGTGAAGATGCACTAGCATTAAACTGAACAATTCTACATTGATTGATAATAAGTTTGGGAAAGATTGGATAAAAATTATTATTAAAGTTATCACAACGCAAACCTGAAATACTTAAAGCAGGAGAGTAGTCACACGCTAAGAACGCAAAGGCTCATGGGTAGCCGTTTTTTTTGTAAACAATGACACGCTATGGCCATCTGACGCATGCACAGGTGACGACTCCCCCGCTTTAATGATAAAAAACAACAACAGGTCCAACACCATGCAGACAAGCTACCCCCTCCTCTCCCCTCTCCCGATCCTTCCATTTCAATGCAGCAAAAATTAAAGAAGGATGGTCCCTCAAGGGGGTGCAGATAAATGCTGTAACAGCAGATTGTAAAATTTTAACAAACCTGCAAGATTTCTTCGTATCTCTTGCATTGTTCGTTTCTTTCCTCCAATGCCTTAGCGAGGTCATTCAACTGTACATGCAGCATACTGTTGTAACTCTCTTCCTGTTCACTGTCAGCGGCCTGCACACCGCTCTCTTTGGTTGCTATGGCTACAGCACCTTGTAAAGCGTCACTTTCAGCTATGTGAAAAAATTCATGGCAAATGTGAATGAGGTCATAAGGGATCGAACATTAAAAATTATGGGGTTGCTGGAAGAGCATACCCAGCACAATTTTTTGTTCGCAGTGCCTTGTCTGAACATTTTTAATTTTTCGTGTACCAACCAACATGTAATTCCTTTTTCACTCTTGGTGTTCAGTTTGCAGATATTTGTTTTAACAAATCTTTCAGCCTGCCCCATGATTTCAAATGGTCGATCCCTAAAACATTGTGTCACATTATTGAGTTTGTCACAATTACTAAAGAATTATTAAAACCAAAACTGATGTAATCACAGGAAGTTTTCAGCTCATGAAGCAGATTAATTTTCTGAGTGCCAAATTCAACTTTTATAATAAATAACAAATTTTGTAAATTTTTTTTTCAAAATTTCGATGAAGATTTGTAAGCAATATAAAATTATGACCATTATTAAATTAAATTATAGAAAAATTCATAAAAACAACAAAGTGAACTGTTCAATTTTCATTATTGTGAACTAATGTATTTTCACTTGGAAATTATTTTTCGCTATTTTTGCTGAAGGAATAAATCAGTGAAAATGGAATACAGTGAAAATACCTTTTTTCCCATATTTTACTTAAAACTTATCAGAAAACTGAAAACAAACTTCATACAAAACAGTCAAAATTTTGTTTCAGCAAAAATTAATTTCAGCTTAAAATAAAGGATGTTTCAGTACAGGTAAGGACAATTTGAAAACATTGCATACATTGAGGTTGTTTCTGAGAATGACATTTCGTATTATTCACTGTCACTTCCAGTGTTAACACAAAAGATCAATGTTATAAATGCTACAAAATCAAAAAATTGAAAAATATGCAGGAGTTGCATAATATTAGCTAACAATGCTGTGAGGTAGCTTGTAATATTATTATAAGAAGACTTGAAATTGTCTCAACCAGTCTGCCAATCATGATGCACTTTACTTTTTAAATAGGTTTGACAACCAATCAAATTCAGGCTTATACAACATAGACAAATACTCACTGGTCACAGACTTTCTCTTAATTTTCTTTATCTTAGTCGTCAGCTTTTGGCACTCTTTGTACTTTTCTTTCCATGCCTCGGCTCCCATATTCAATCGTTCACGTAAGTCTTCTATCTCGCGAGTTAAATCGCTGTTCTGAAGTTCTATCGCCACTTGTTTCGTTACCAATTCTGAGCGTTCCTTTACGCAGCCCTCGTGTTGTTTTTTCAGTTTGTTGTACTTCTGACGCATGTGTTTGTTTGCTTCTTGGAGTGCATACAGCGGACCTTCTTGCTGTTTTCCAAGAGTGTGGACCTCATTTACCAACTTCTCCTTTTCCTACATGGAAAAAACAACAAAACATATTTATTTATTTATTTATTTGCAATTTCTCTATGGAAAACTGACTTAATTTTAAATCTAAATAAAAGTAATGTTTACTCAAATTAAATCAGGAACTTGATAGTTAACACTATTGTTTATTCTATGAAGGTATTACAAGAAAACCACAAAGTATGCAGGAAGGCTGTACAGCACAATAGTGGACACAGGCTACATTTGCGTTCAATGATGCCACAAAAAAGGTATGTTAGTACCCCTCCAACCACCCTTAACTCTTACACTAACCCCCCCCCCCATTTCAATGACATACGCCACCTCTAGATAACTATAGGTGACCTTAGGAGGGACATATACAATTAAATTTGAGATTACTGAAGGGAAGAGTAGTAGGGAATGGGTTAGATTAAGGGTTAGGGGCGGAGGTACATAAAGTACTTTTTCCGAAGTCCCTGCTGTCTCTCCTGACCTTTTTTTTTTTTTCACTAATTGCAAATACATAAACAAACCGGTCTCCCAAACCAAATACGAGGTGTTGGGGGGAGGGGGGGCAGACAAGCACTGCCTGAATTTACATAGTTGAGCAAATAGTCGGCTCTGAGAATCTAAAAACCCTGACCTCCCGAATGTGAGCCGAACAGGCAACCATTACTCATTCGATAGAATAAAGAGAAGTTAGCTGAGGAATTCAAAGCCACATACTTTTTGACGTGAAGTGAACACACTGTACTATGCCCAGAGTTCTAAATCATGCATTTACCTTTGCTAACTGAGTCAGTCCATCTCGCAGAGCTCGGATTTCCTCCTGTAGTTCTGCCTCTTTCTCAGCACTCATAGACTTCTGTCGCTTGAATTTGGTTTTCATAGTTAGGACTTCTCCAGTTTTATCCTGAAAAAACACAAGATGCACATGATAATAGTTGTAAACAAAATAACACTACTGTAAATTATTCGCTGTTTTTTAATTTCATTATTTTTGTTGAAAAGTAAAATTTGCTAAAGTAAATCCAAATGAACATAAATCATAACAATAGAATTTATTTTTCCTGCCAACTAGTAACCATTCGTAACCGGCCCACAAACCCGTGCATGATTGTGTTAGAAAAGCTGTATGTCACTGCAGTTAAATCAAGTCATTTGATTGGGCTTGCCAAGGAGCTGGTGCCACCAACCAGCGTTGCTGTGTCATAACTGTGAAGGTCTAGGATCATTACAGATTAAAACGATGGCGGCATGTAGGCTTTGCGCTGATTCACCGAGAGTCAAGAACAGAGGGTCTATATTGGTTGACGCATTTCTAAAATTTCTTATTCAAACATCAAAAAATATTTGTAGGCAAGTGAATGCCTAAATATTTGTACAAACAGTGTTTTAGTAAACTGACAAAACTATCGTAACTGATAACATATCGACTTTACCTGAATTTTACCAAGTATTGTGTCGTTTCTGTCATGAATTCTGATTGGGTGATGCAAATGAGACGAAGTGAATCTTATAATGAGGGTGTGGGACATACAGGAAATCATGGTGAAATCTGCCAAGGGTTATTAATGAGGCTTCGGCTGAATAAATGGTCCTTGGCTGACAAAGAAGTATATACACTAGCTACATTGATATAGGAATAGGTCAGCCCATACTGTTAAAAGGTGGTGGCCGTCACGCTGCATCCTGTTCGATATGGGACTCACAGCGACGTACACAACGGGTGTAAAATACATTGTTTGTTTACATGAAATTCGAACATGTGCTGCGCGACGACCACCGCCCTTTAAGTACTAGGTACATCATGAGATGGTTACACCCAGAAGCACAATATCATGTGTGCATGTCTACATTACACCCCATATCCAACATTGCATGCGAAGCAGCATATTTTCGACATCTGGGAAAATGGTTCATATCGGCATAGAGAGCTACAAATATATGTTTTTGATACTTACTTCCAAGTTAGTTGACAGGTTTTGTTGTACTTGTCTAAGAGTTTCCAGTTCAGTAGTAACCAGTTTCTTCGTGTCTTCCAATGCGGCTATCTTGTCTTCATAGTTCTTGACCTTGTCTTCCAGGGATAGGATGTGTGTCTGTGATCAGAGATAATTCATGACACAAACAGTCAGTATTTCACATCAAAAACTGCAAATACACTTAAACCTTGTAATAAACCCTTTGTTGTGTTTGCCTTACTACTGTAAAATACTTTATTTTCGCTTGGAATTTATTTTCGTTATTTTCGCTGAAGGGATGATTCCGTGAAAATAAAATCCAGTGAATATAATTTTTTTCCTATTTTTTCCTATTTTCCTAAACTCATCAAAAATCAGTGAAAAAAAATTCCACACAAAACGCCCAAAAAGCCTTTTCAGCGAAAATAAAGTATTCCACAGTATTTCAGAGAAGTGGACTATGGGTGACACCAATGCCGTTGATATCATTTTTTTATCTTAGTCGTTCATAAATGAAGATCAAGTTTTTGAGAGATTTTAATCGATAAAAGGTGAAGAACGACTTCACAATCTAACACAGTTGTCAATTTTATCGACTTAGACCACTTTCCCGGAAGTAGCAAGACTGGCGTGCAGAAATTCTCCTGCTTTGCCATGGCGGAAAATACAAACATACAAGTTTGCAGATATTCGGTGGAAGGGAATTTTATTTCAGTGATGTTGATTGGTACACCCAGAAGCACAATATCACAAGTACACGTATACGTTACACCCCATATTTGGTGAAACAGCATATGTTCAATTTCAAAAAAAATGGTTGATAATGAATTTTCTCTTGCTTAAAATAAACCCAAGGTATTAATTGCTAAAATAAATTATTTTCACAGTAATGTTTTCAAATAAATGCATCAAAGGTTGCTTCAGATCAACAAAACATCCTCTGAAACAGAAAACGAACATTTCCCTAATCTACCATATTTGGTATACTTCACTGGTGTGCAAAGTTGACAAAAAATAATGTGTGCGGAGAGCTAGGATTTAAACTGACAAACATGATGACGAGAAAAAAAAATTTTTTTTTGAGCCTTACCTTGTCAGCATTTGTCACATGCAGTTGTCGTTCAAATTTCTTTTTTTCTTCATCAACAACTGACTTGAGTTGAATAGAATCTTCTTTTGTTTTAACCAAAGCGGCGTCATTCTCTGATAACTGACCACGTAATGTCTCAATCTCCTCTTTTAATTTAATATTCTCTTTCTCAGAGGTTGTGAAATGGTCCTATCAAGGAAAATACAATGTTCCTGTTAGTCTTAGTGTAATTGTTTGGTGGTTGTTTTCTTAGAACTCAAATTAGTTTCATTAACATAATTAATTGCAGAAAGTTGCAAACATAGGTCTATCATCACAGATACTAATAAACATTTTCAGTTCACTTAAGGGGGGAGGAAAACAGCCTTCTGTTCTTGGGAGCAATCGTCCTGGCATTATCAGCACTAGTTCAAAAACTGTTGCATAATCATTGCCCACAAGGAACACATAACAAGGGCAACAAGAGAAGAGAACACTAGTATTTTATCTTTGATTTCCAAAATGTGCAACAGCAACTAGAGACTTGGTACTGTAACAAAGTTTAGTGCACATCATTCAACAACATTCACACAAACAGTGCGAGAACAGTGCGAGAACAGCTCATCAAAAACAAGCAACATGTTGTTCTTGTCAGTCATTAGAAAATATTCAGTCTAGGAAAAGTGAACGCCACTTCACCTACCATAAAATCTATAATAGAAGTCACATCCCTAATAGAAGTTGCACCCATTCTTTTTGCACAATTGAGAACTTCACCATTTTTATTTGCGTAGATGCTCTAATAGAAGCTGCATCCCATTAAAATGTTGCAATGCAACAGGCATTGCAACATTTTAATAGAAAACTAAGCTTCTAGTACAGATTTTACTGTACTTTACTTTATCCTTGTTTTTTCAATTATAATTATAAAGAAAATATCAAGGTTTACTGGAGGGGCATCAAGGTTTTCTGGAGGGGCATCAAGATTTTCTGGAGGGGCATCTAGACAATAGCCTCCAATGATTTCATGAAGTTAAAAATTTTGCTTGATAATCATGGATAATGCAAGAAGAATCTTTTGCAAACCGTATAAATATAAACTTACTTTGTATAACGCTATCTGTTCCTCCAACTCGACTATTTTCTTCTCCAACTCCACTTTCTCATTACATATGTCCAGCAGTGTAGCTTCACTCTGTTTCATTTCGTCTTTCAATTTTGCCAACTCGACTGCGAGGGCGTCCTTTTCTTCCATATTCTCCTTCAACATTATCTCCATTTGTTTAACTCTGGCTTCGAACACCGATTTTTCCTTCTCCATAGCTCCACTGCTACTTAAAGCTTTCTAAACACAGTATCAGAAGAAATATTGAAAACAAGTGCATTTTATGAAAGGCAAATAGAGTAAACTTAGTGTGAAAGCGTATAAATCTTTAGCT